TATTTGGTTTATTTATAAAATTTAAATTTCTTTTTTAGTTTGTATTACTTATATAAATAAATAAAACTAAAAATATAGTTTATGTATTAGATTTAAAAATTATATGTTTATAATTTCAGAATCTTGTATATTTCATACTTTATTGTTTTTGTTAATTTTTTAATTAAATCTATAAATTATTTAAAACAACAAAAAAGAAAGCTTTATATAATCTAAACTATTAATCTACTTAGACAATTTTATTTACAGATTTTTTTCAAATATTTTCTCTATATTAAATATAATAAAACTTATAATTTTTTTTATTTATTTGGTTATTATTAGAAACTACTTTCTTAAATTTATCTTAAAGAAAAATTTCAAAAAAACTCTTTCTAACAATTCTCTAGACAACACAACAAAAAATCAAACTATAGAAAAATGATATAGAAAGTCTTAAAATATATACTATTTTAGTCCTATCTTTGAGTAAGCAGTTGTCAACAAAACCTAAAAACGAGAAACACTGAGAAGCGGACGTAACTTGGGCAGTTTTTCTTGAGATCAAGCTTTTGTTTTCGGTAGACTCCTCAAGATATTTGGCATCCAAACCAAAAGAATATTCTGGAAACTGAACTTATCTCTAAACAGGTTGCTGTTGACGAAGCTTGAAAAATGTGAAGCAGGTGTAACTTAAGTAGTTTTTTTTGGGTCAAACTTTCTTCTTGGTAGACTTTCCAGGATATTCAGCATTTAAACTAGAAGGTTTATTCTAGATGCAAGTAGCGAAATGGTCTTTGTTAAGATAATATAATCTTGTAGAACCAACTATACAACCATAAAATCTACAGAAGAACCTCATATATTTTTGTTGTCCCTTCACTATTTTTTTCAAGGAAAATTTTGTAAAAGTAGGCAATCTAGCTTACCTTCTCCAAAAGATCGATATATTGTTTATTTTTCAAATCAGGCGGTATTGTTTACTTTTTTACCTGTCACAACAAACACATGGATATGTAGACCTATGATTACGTATCTCGAATGTGATGATCTGGACAAACAATACTTCAAGCCCAAAAGTGCGATTTACCAACCTCTCTATATAGTACCGATATCGAAAAAGCTTTTTTTTTTTGTTTTTTTTAGATTTTAAGTTTAAACATACTATGTATATAAATTAGTGTAAAGAATAGTTTAGATAATAGTATATAATTTTTAAAAGAGCCTGATACAGGCTTATAATTATGACCGTTTGGTGTAGGTGAAAAATTCTATATTTAGTTTAGTTTTTCTCATTTTACCCTTATCTTGTTCTTTTCTTTTATTTGTTTTTTTTACGTATTCTTCTATACCTCTGTGTTTCTTTTATATAAGTTTTTTCTTTTTCTTTCACTTTTTTACAAGAAGATATCATCAGATTTGTAATATCCTATTGTAGAGCAATAGTCAGACAAGCTCCCAGTAGGTATTATCTTAATTGATCGTACCTCTCTGGTGTGGCATGGACATCTGTAGATGCGTGTAGGTAACCGGTTAGATTACGTGAGGTAACCGCAGGATATCAGACCTGTAGTTTTAATGCTATGCATTTTTACAAGTGGCGTTTTGTTAAATAAAAGTACTGGCACAATCTGCCAAAGTGAAGCAAAAAAAAAAAATTATCTTAAAGAATCTTTGTTCTTGACAGAATATATTTAAATTAATATAGAACTTTTTATTTACAATTTTATCTCTAATTTTTAGCTAGACAAATTAATTAGTAATTTTATATATTGTTATATTTTCTATTTGTTATATTATACAATACCTAACAAAAGTTTCTTTATATCTCTAGCTTTCACTAGATCATATGCAGGTATATAAAATTTTATTTATGAATAGTATATTGTATATACAGATTGTACTAATATTTTTTAGACAAGCTTGATAGTAAAAATATCTGCTTCAATCATGCATGAAATTTTAGCCAAAAAAATGCTTCTCACTTTATATAAACAATATGAAATTATTTTTTTAAATATCTATCTGAAAGGCCCCAAGCTTTTAATCTGTAAAATAGCAAAGCAAGTTTACTATGATAAAAGTTTTATATACTATTAGGTAAAAAGGTAGCAAGAAATCAAGAATCTAAGTGACAAACCAAGATTAGACCATAAAAAGACCACTATCCAAAGACAAGACAAATAGATTTAGGAGCTAAAAAAAAAAAATAAAAATATTATAATCCTAGAAATCTATTGTGAACTGATAAAATATAATATTAATATTTATGTATATACTATTTAACAGTGTCTTCATAAAGGTAGGCTACTATTATGGAAAATTTTTGAAGCTTTTGCTTGGGAGAAGTATCAAAAAAATACTTTTTATGAGTGAAAAAACATAAAGATTTTAACTAGGATTTCATAATATTTACTAATGAAAATACTTTTTACTTGAATTAACAACTAAAAAAGCGTGACAGTTTTTCAGAAGAAAAAAATTAAACCATTTTGTCAAGAATTCAACAAAAGTTCACATATGAGGCTATTTTTTTTCTTTAGGCTTTGGCAAATTGGTTTACCTTATATATAATCTTAATATACAATATATGATTACTATAAAACAGGCCTTCTACCTTCTATTGTAGACCTTTTTAATGAATATTACAATAAATGGATCTTGTAAAAGGACAATAATCTGAAATATCATTCAAAAATTATAAAGACTTGAAAAGAAAAAAATGATGTTCAGGTTCTCTTTTAACTATTAATATTACCTAATCAAATCTAATTAAAATATTTGAGGACTGATGAAAATGAACCTAGCAAAAAAAAATTAGAACCTTTAATCATTTGAAAGGTAAAATAACAAAGGAATAGAATAGCTTATCTAAAAAATATATAAAAAATTTGATTAGAAGTATAAAGGATCATATAGAAGCCCTAATTGAAGCTAAGAATAATTATACAATACATTGATTTTTTTTGTAATATAATGTATTTTTAAATAAAAAAATTTTTTTACTTACCCTATCTCTGTGCCGAGTTAGAGATGCAGAGAAACTTTTGTTGAGTACTATAATATAAATTTTTTTGTTATAAAATAATAAACAATACTAATTTTCTGAAAAAATATATTAAATTCTTTATTTTTTATTAAAAATATTAAAAATTTTAAAAGTAGTTAGAAAAAAATATTATTTGTATTTGTTAATCTATTTTTTGTATAGTTTTGATTTAAATAATTAACAAAAAAATTATAAAGAGTTTGAATTTTATTAATTTTATTTTTATATTTTAAATAATTTTTTTTTTAATATTCAAGATAAAGTTATGTTTTTTACTTTATTGAAATTTATTTAAACTTTTTTACAGAAAAAAATTACATATAAACTCTATATTCAAAGAATAACAAGAATAGAAGCTGAAACTACTTTATTTGTGACCTAAACTTATATTTTAAATAATTTTATTCTATATATAATAATATATATATTATTAAATTTGAATATACTTATAAATTTAAACTAAATTTAAACTAAACTAAAAATTTAAGTTTAGATTTAGTTCAAGTTTATAAATTTAAAATTTAATACAAAATTTAAAATTTAGTTCAGATTTAATTAAATCTAAATTTGAATTAAATTAAATTAAATTAAATTTAAAAATACTAAAATATATAGCTATAGCTATTAATTAAAAAAATTTTTAATAAGTTAAATATCTAGAAAAAAACTAAGAACTACAAAGACAAATTATATTTAAATACAAGCCAGATAAATTTTTGTTTGGTTAAATTAATACTGTAATAGCTATAGATAAAAATTTATATAATTTTTTAAATAGTTTAATCTCAAATAACAAAAACAGAATTATCAAATTATAAAAAAAAATTAATAATAATATTACTATTTTTAATTTTTATTAAAATTTAAAGATTTAAATTTTAATTAAAATTAAATTTTAAATATTTTTGCTTAGTATTCTTTATAGTAGATTTTTGAGATATAGTATTCCTGGATAGTATTACTTTGGGGCAAGTTAGCGACAGTTTAATTTTAATATATTAAAATTTTTTAATTTTATAATTGTATACAATTTAAAATTAATTAAACTAAAATATTAGTGTTAAAGATTTGTTAAAATTTAAAATTAATTAAACTAAAATATTAGTGTTAAAGATTTGTTAAAATTTAAAATTTATTTAATTTTTTAATAAATTTTTAATAATAATGGCTTAAAAGTTTTTAATTGTTAAAATTGATTATACGTAGTAAATATATACTAGTAAAAGAATCTATCGATCTGTAGATAATATAAGAACCTACATTTAAGGCCTTATTTGTTTACAGAAAGTTAAGGGATCTACGAACACTAATATACTGTATATGGTAATTTTTTTAAAAAAAAGTGACGTAACAAAATTGTAAAAGAAGTTAATGTAACGTCGGGCAACTTTTTGTGATAAACATGATTACGTTTATCATTGAAATTTTTTTTTACTACAAAGACTACGTACAAAGCGGTATTTGTGAAAAGAAAATTGCCGAGAAACCCTATGATTATTAATATTTGTTTATACAAATATATAGTATATATATATATAATATATAATAATATAGATATATAACGATAATGTTATATGTATTATTTTAACTAAATTTACCTAAAATTAGAAATTAAAATTAAACATATGGATATTGATACGTATCGAGTCACATGTTACGTAATAAATAAGTTTCTTTCATTTAAAAGTAATACGTAATGATCGGATATCTTTGTCCGGGATGTTAAAAAACTTGAAATTTTCATTTGACAAGGTCATACGATACGTATTAATATTGGGGTTGTGCATTCAATTAGTTACACAAGTAAAACTCGTGATTAGTTAAACGATCGACTTTTAATTATATATATAGCATAAAAACACATGTCGGACATGCGTACCATGTCAAACTTTCCGTTTTCACGAAATAGGTTATAAATATATAATGAATCATATGCGTTAAAGTTCGTAAAGATATTTTAAATGTCTTTAATATGGATGAAAAAACATCTTTAATTTTTAATATGAATAGAAATACACAAACAGCATATCATAATGATAATGGTGTCGTTGTAAACGTGTACATAATGACAATGGACGACCACCTTGTGGCTGTAAATGCTAGTTCCGTGGTTTCATTGTTACATCGATCGGATTCTCCGGTACAAGCCAGTAACATATGAATTCTTCGTGCATTACTTTGTAAGAACAGTAAAGCGTGTGGAAAATTAGAAACATTTACCGAAATAAGACAGGTTTTCACGAATTCTAAAAAAAGCAAACAAAGATTTATATATATAATTATAATTACAATTACAATATTAAGTGTACAAGCCATAGTGTGATATAAAATTCGGTCATAATTCCAAATATAGCCATGTGAGATATTAGTGATTAGGGACGTGGAACTTGGATCCCCAATTTTTTGTAATTTTTTGTAATTTTTTGTAATTTTTTGTAATTTTTTGTAATTTTTTGTAATTTTTTGTAATTTTTTTGTAATTTTTTGTAATTTTTTGTAATTTTTTGTAATTTTTGTAATTTTTTTGTTTATGGAGTTCATCCAAAG